TATTATTATTATTATTATTATTATTATTATTATTATTATTATTATTATTATTGTGTGTGTGCATATCTACACCACAGCACACCTGTGGAGGTCAGAGGTCGACTTGCAGACGCTGGTTCCTTCTACCATGTGGGTTCCAAGGTGGTCAGGTATGACAGCAAGCACCTTTGTCTAGTGAGCCATCTCACCAGTTTGTTTTTTTGTTTTGTTTTGTTTGGTTTTGTTTTTATAAGACTATCAGAGCCAGGATTCTTGACGGAGATTTAAGCATTAAAGGCCACAGATAGATGTATTTCCATAGGACATCATAGTTTTATGCTTGAAAAAAAAAGTAAAAATTTTCCATAAAGCAAACAACCAAGAGAAAAGTTCTAGAAAATCTCGGCTGATCACCGCTTACAGAAAAAAAAAAAAAAAAAAATATATATATATATATATATATATATAATTAATTTTCATGCCTTCTGAATATCGGGAGTGAATTTATTTCTGTTTTAATTGAGAAAATAAAAAATACATTTGTTTATGACGTACAACGTAATGCTTGGAGGAAGTCAATCTTCTTTTGAGTCTATGAGGGACAGCAGCTGTAAGCAGGTTGAGCTGATAATTTGCTCGTAAACAACCATCTTGGACAATAGGGCAAATGTGTGCTTTGGAAAAGGGCAGTGTGGGGAAGGCAGGCCATGGATGGGCAAAGACTGTCCTGAGGACAAGTGGCCAGTAATTAGCATACATATGCTTGGACCAAGAACGCTTGGTCCACCTGGGTCTTTGGCCCCTAAATGAGTGCCTGGTCCACAGGAAGATCAATCACTATCTATGAAGTTAACGAGTTAATGAACATTGCTGTAGTTTACATGTGGTTCTGCGTGTTTTTAAGCCCAGTCTCCGGTGACAATGTGGAGAAGCGGAATGTAATTGGGTTGTGGGAAGGTTCCATCGCCAGAAGGACTCCGTGTACTTTTGATGGGATTCCGGTTACTTCCTGCAAGAAGAGGAAGCCTGAGCTGGCCGTGGTGGTGCACACCTTCAATGCCAGCCTTCTGAGGCTTAGGAAAAAAGATTGAGGCCCGCCTGAGATACACTTCGGGACCTTCCCTCTGATACCACCCCCTGGGGATGGCAGGGGCGACGACCTGCTCCTGAGCTTCTCTGGCTTCCTGACTCATGTTTCCTGTCATGTCATCCTCCATGATGGCTTCACTAGAGGCCAAACAGAGTCATCTGAGGCATGGTTTCAGACTCCAATTATATGAGATAAATAAACCTCTTTCCGTAACAAATTTCCCAGTTCTAGTGTTTTGTTATAATGACAGAAAATGGATTAATACAGAAGCCAAAATCAAGGGCTGGGAATGGTGCCACACGCCTTTAATCCCAGCACAAGGGAAGCAGAGGCAGGTGGATCTCTATGAGTTGGATGCTATCCTGGACTACATAATGAGCTCCAGGACAGCCCAGACTGCTTAGAGACCCCACCCCCTTCTCAAAAATCAAAACAACAACCAGGCCCCTTTCATTCTGACAGGTGTTAAAATCAATCTTAAAATAGTCAATAAATTAGAACAGAAACAGACCTACTAGCTACCTACCAGCCTCTCTTGCAGCTACATCTAGCCAGGGAGCTACAAAGATACGTGGTATTTGCACTTATATAGTACTTGCATAAAGGCTTGTGAAAAGCATTCTTTCTTCCTTCTGCCACCCTAGTCGTCTGGAAAAAACAGATGATGGGCTGGAACTCCAGCAACCACGTGGAGCACGGGCTACAACACACACTAGGACAACAAACAGGAAGATTCGAGCATAGGCTCCCAATGGTGACTATTCTTATAGACCTGTCCTAAGTCACCTGCCGTCAGGCTTGCTATTCCATGAAGGATAACGTCTGTGTTTACAGGCACTTTTCTTTGGAAGGGTGCTGTTACAGCCAGAGAAAGTTAACTCTGAAGATGTGGGTTAGCTCCTAGCCCTAGAGACAACGGAGACCAAGTCAAAGCGTGGCAGGCAGCTCAGGAAGGGTCCAGTTTCCCACGGCGGCAGCCTTCTATCTGTTGCCTGTTCCTGGCTCCCTAGACGCCGTTTCTTCCGCGCGTTGAATCAGAACCCTGTACGTCTTAGGACAGTGCTTTTGATAGAGATTCTCCGCCAGAGTGTTGCTTCCACTAACCGGGGTCCTGCCCTCTTTGTTCATGAAGTTCCACAAATGCAGCGCGTAGGAGGCATTGAAGCTGGGCTCCGTGTCCCACACCTGGTAGTAGCGCCTCCACTCCGGGTAGGGGATAGGGTAAAATCTCTGAGGGTGAAGGAATGAAATATTCAGACACTTCAGGTCACCCAGCTCTTGGAAGTCTTCAAGTCTGCACCACAATCTTAACATCCGTGTCATCAGATTGGGTCCCTGGTTGCCCCAAATGCGCGAGTTATAGCGCTCCACGAAGTTCTCCATGCAGCCCCACAGAAAGGGGTGGTGGGGGAGGAAGCCGAACACCCCGTTACTGGAGTACCGGGAACCCTGCGCTGCCAAGAAGTTCTTCTCGGGGATGGGCCTGATGGAGATGACATCGGTGTCCATGTAGATTCCACCGTATTTCCAGATGATAGCCAGGCGGGAGGCGTCGGAGCTGACATGGAGCCAGTATTTTTCTGCACTGCTGTTGATCTATGGGAACAGGTACAAATGAGCCCGCAAGCAGGAAGGGAGGCTAGGAAGGAATGCAACAGGGCAGATAACCTCAAAATCTATTTGAGAGCAAGCCAAACTCTGTAAAAAAATTTTTCTCAATTTTACCTTCACCTCCTGATTTTTCTTGACGTTAAGAATGTGTAGCACTTGGTACCAGTGCAAAGATTTTCAGCAGCTATTAAAGATGTCAAAAAATATGTGACTGTGAAGGTTGGATTTTTTTTTTAAGGTCCTCAAAATATTGACGATGGGTAGTAAAAAAACAAAGCTAGGAAACTTTTAAAAAGAAAGTAGATTTTCCTCAAGTTTCCCCTACTTTCTCAAAACTGGGGGAAAAGGAAAAGAATCTAAGGACGCACGCATGCGTGCCTTTGTTTGCTTGGAAGGTCCCTCAGTAAAGCTCAGTGAGGACCTTATCACTGTGCAGCAAGCACTGTGGATTTGCTAAAAGCACAGTAGTGAACAAACAGGCAAAAATCCCCACTGGAAGGAGATCAATAATAAACGAATATTCACTTCATTGATGTTGATAAGGACTATGAGGGAATAAAAGGACTAGGCAAGGGCACTATGAAGGAGTGAGAGAGTACACAATGTCACATTAGGGTTCCACAGAAACTTGATTGTAATAGGTGTGTGACTCATCCGGGAGAAAGCTCTAAGCGGAACAGTCAGCAAGCGCAGGGGCCCTAAGGCAGAAGCAGAGTCGGGGAGGGAGGGGGTAGCCAATGAACAGAGCAGGGTACGCAAAAGGGGGTCAAGGTCATGCAGACTGGAATCAAGATCCGAAGCTCTTTGGAAGGTTGAGGAGAAAGGAATGACATAATCTGAATAGGTTCTCCAAGGGTCACTTCGGCTGCTGTGTGGACAAGGATCTGGAGAATGGTGGGAATTGATGAGGACAGATTCAAAGAAAGGCTAGGGGCTTGTTGACCTAATCCAGACTTGGGTCAGGGTTGATTATCTAAGGGTGTGAGAGAAGTGGTCAGGGCCTGTATTCCAGATAAAAACAACATGTCGGCCTTTGCTGATGGGCAGGTGAGGAGGAAAGAATGACTGTAGTGCTAAAACACAAGCAAAACGATGAAGAACCCAGAGGAATAAAAATGAATCAGTATACGTCATAGTGTTTCCCTTTAGAATGATAAGATTTTGAAAACACACACATACACACACACACACACACACACACACACACAAAAACAAGTATATTTTTTTTCTGAGTTTAAATATATCTTATAAAAGATTAAGTAAGGACCTTTGGTCTTGATCAAAAACTAAGTCGTTAAGATTCTACTGTAAATGAAAGCAAGCTAAGAAAATCTTTGTAGAGAACCTCACAGTTGCTGAAAATCATCCGGTCATTGTTCCTGAGACCTCAGAAACAACAGCTAGCACGTATCAGTGATGGTTAGAGCACTTTGTCATCTACACAAATCCTCGAAGATGGGATGCATGGCCATTCTACCTTCCAAATGAGAAAGTGAAGCATCAGGATGCTCTGTCATTTGTCCTCAGGCAAGGGGGGTGAATTGAACCTGAGCAATATTCACTCATACACGAGAAACTACGCTGTGGTTAACACGAGTGTAACCTGGGAACGTAGGGGTTGCGGCTGAGCTGAGAGACATAGAACATCAGAGGAGGATCAGAAGAGGGACCCTTCCTGGATGCCAGCATCAGACCGCCACCCACCTGACATAGGGTGAGTGGCAGGAGGACTGAAAACAACCGCCATGCTGATTCTGGACATCTTCAAGAGCCACAACTGCCTGCAGGGCTCATGTAGCAAACCCAGCAGTCCTTAGGAAGTGGATGGCACAATGGATCCTCTCTAACACGCACCCCCATCTATTTCCCGTAGAGGCCCAACTGGGAAAGAACACACCACGGCCCAGTTCCCTCTAGGGTATCATAGTATGAATATGCTAGTTACACATCTCAACCCAGAACCCTACAGACTCATATGAAGCAGGTACTCGGGGACTCCGCAACTCAGGGCCCACTTTGCTCCTAAAACCCAGTATGTAAAATCTAGGTCCATCTTAGTACATCACACGCTTTGCTCCAAAGGATTCTAGTTCCAAGAGGTTACTTATGTATCATACTGTAAAGAGGGTTCTAAATAGAGCTCAAGTTTCCTTAGTGCAGAACCATAATGAGATTTTAATAACTTTTTTGGTTTTGTTTGTTTGCTTTTTGTTTTTGTTTTTGTTTTGTTTTGTTTTGTTGTGTTTTGTTTTGTTTTGAGACAGGGTCTCACCACATAACTCTGGCTGTCCTGAAACTCGCTCTGTAGACCAAGCTGGTCTCAGACTTTTGGAGATGCGCCTGCCTCTGCCTTCCAAATGCTGGGGTTAAAGCCTTGTGCCGCTACTGTCTGGCTTTACTATTATTGTTGAGTAACTTATCCACGAGAAAGAGACGTAGTATGCAGCATCTCCCAAAATAACATGCTTTGAGATTTCTTTTCCCAAGCAACAGAGCACCGTTTAGATAAGAACAATCTGGCTCAGATATGAGGAAAGTTGTGCAGGCCTGGGGCATCCTCCAGCAGCTTAGAGCCATGGAGACCAAGTTATCTGTCTCCTCTATTTTTGGCACCTGCCTTCCTGGCCTGTCCCACACTGCTGCTCCTGGGACAATGACACCCACTTTCCAGGAACCCTGCTGCTGGCAACTGCCAAGACCAGCAGCAGGTGGACAGTTCATACATTTGAACTGATCCCCTTCTTCCTGGCTAATCCCAGTTTGACATTTCCAAGCTCTTGTAACAGGTGGAATTTTGGCTTCTAACAGCCTCTAGAGCCCAAAGAGAAACTGACTCCAGAAGCTGTCCTCAACCCCAGCCCCTGCCAGCCTAATCTACTAGAACGGTCCCCCCTCAGGCTTGCAGCTTAGTCTGACAAATGTTTCCAAATGGCAGGAACTAGACTCAAGCCTGCCAGCCACAATCCATCCCCCTAGCACCCAGATAAAGAGGCAGGGCAGGGGAAGGGTTCTCTCTCCTTTAATGATTATACTATAGTAGGCTGACAAATGACCACTGGAAGATATCAGGTCCTGATTCCTAGAACCTGTAAATGTGGGAGAGGATCTTGGCAGATGTGATTAAGTTAGGGACACTGAGATGGGGTGATGATCCTTGACTACACCGATGAGTCCTTAAGAATCTCACTGATGCCACTTAAAGATTCAGGTGGATAGAGACGTTACACACACAGAGGTAAAGGGGGTTTGAAGAAGGAGGTGGCTAGTGGACTGATGGGCTAGAGATCAAAAAACAGTTTGGCCACCAGAGGCTGCCTGCCCTGCAGCCCCTGCTGTGACTGTGGCTTCTAGAGCTGAGAGGGTTGAATGTGGATTGCTGTCAGTCCAACAAGTCTGAGGTCATTTGTTAAAGGAGATCTTACAAACCACTACAGCAACAGGTACAATAATCCTTTTGCTACTTGGCTCACAAAGCTTAAATATTTGCTGACATTTGGTCCAGGGTGATTTAGAATTTAGAGAGAACTTCATATGGTGGGCAGATGTTATGACACTGACTTTTAAATTATTTATGTTTTTAAGAATAATCTTCTTAGCCGGGTGTGGTAGTGCATGCCTACAATCCCAGCACTCTGAGAGGCAGGGGCAGGCAGATCTCTGTGAGTTCAAGGCCAGTCTGGTCTACAAAGTGAGTCCAGGACAGCCAAGGCTACACAGAGAAACCCTGTCTCAAAAAATAACAAAAAAATAACAAATAATTATAATATAATATAATATAATATAATATAATATAATATAATATAATATAATATAATATAATATAATATAATATAATATAATATAATATAATATAATATAATATAATATAATATAATATAATATAATATAATATAATAATAAGGCTGGAGAGATGGCTCAGAGGTTAATAATAATAAAAATAATAATTTTCTTTATAAGATCAACATTTTGGGGCCTGGAGAGATGGCTCAGAGGTTAAGAGCACTGGCTGTTCTTCCAAAAGTTCAATTCCCACCAACCACAGTGGCTCAAAACAAACTGTAATGAGATCATGAGATCTGGTGCCCTCTTCTGGCCTGCAGGCACACATGCAGGTAGACTACTGTATAAATAATAAATAAATAAATCTTTTTTTTTTAATCGGCTGATAAGGACAGATAGCACACTTAATCTCAGCCAAAAGGAGCCTGACCCCGTTGTCCTCTGAAAAATTCTACCAAGCAGCACCTCAAAACAAATGCTGAGACTCACAGCCAAACATGGGGTAACATGTATGGAGTCTTGTGGAAAAGTGGGAGGAAAGAGGAAAGGACCTGGAGGTGACAGGAGCTCCACAAGAAGACCAACAGAGCTAACTAGCCAGGACCCAAAGGGGCTTGCTGAGACTGAAACATCAACCAAGGGCGATACATGGCTGGACATAGGCCCCCATCAAAAATGTAGCAGATGGACAGCTTAGGCTTCATGTGGGTCCTCTAGTAAGAGAAGGGGGGACTGCATTGACATGGACTCCCTTGCCAGCTTCCTTATCATTTTCCCTTTGTGGGACTGCCTTAACAGGCCACAGGGAAAGAGGTCATGATGCAGCTTGATGAGCTGGGGTGGATGGGAAAGGAAGCTCCCCTTTTCTGAGGAAGAAGGAGGGAGGGTGGAGCTAGGAGGGGAGGGGGGATAAAGCTAAAATCAGGATGTTAAGTGAATTAAAAAAAAAAAGAAAGAAAGAAAGAAAGAAAGAAAAAATTTTTCAGAAAAAAAAATCAACCTTAATGAAAGTCTCTTCTATTTCAATCCTATTCAAACATCTATTGTAAGTGTATAGTTTCTTTAGTGTTTTTGTTTGTTTGTTTGTTTGTTTGTTTGTTTATTGTGGGGAGGGAGCTTGATTTGTCTTTGGTTTTTATTTTATTTATTTTTATTTTTTTTGTATTTTGAGACAGAATCTCAAGTAACCCAGGCTGGCCTACAACTTGCTATGAAGCCAAAGATGACTTTAAATTCCTGATCTCCCTACCTCCACCTCTCAAGTAGTGAAACTGCTGGTGTGTGCTCCTTGAAAGCTTTCTCAGTTTTCTTAATGCTGGAGATGGTTGCATAACTGAAATCACTATGATTACATTATAGTGGGAAGGAGTCATTCATTCAGTATTGTCTTATACTTTTCATAAGATGTCATTTAGAAGCTCGGTTAAACCCTGTCTAATGGAATCTTCGAGGACCGGCACTCAACCCACTGTGCGCCCTCTGTGAGACCAGCATTACACTGAAATATTATTTCCTTTATTACGACATACTGCTAAGAGGAGGATCACCGGATTCCTCGGAGTTCCAGGGCCTTCTCAATCAGCTCTTGCTACAACCCAGTCTCATGGAGCAGCATACCTCCGATCCTTCCTGAATTTTCAACCTACATCACTTTCATTTTAAATATCGCTTCATTTCCGCCTCTGGTGTTGAAAGGATTTAGCACAGATGGGTCCTAAGTTATATGGAAAGTAAAGCCTCCAAATACCTAAAAAAGATTAAAATTCATTCAGTTAAGAAAAGCCTCCAGCTGGGCGCAATGGTGCACACCTGTAATCCCAGCACTCTGAGAGGCAGGGGCAGGTGGATCTCTACGAACTGAAGGCCAGCCTGGTCTACAGGGTGAGTCCAGGACAGCCAAGGCTACACAGAGAAACCCTGTCTCAAAAACCAAAAAGAAAGAAGAAAGGAAGGGAGGGAAAGAGGAAAGAAAGAAGGAAAGAAGGAAGGAAGGAAAGATGGGAGGAAGGAAAGATGGAAGAAAGGAGAGAAAGAAAGAACCTCCAGATAGCAAACATCCTCCAGGAAATACGCCTTGATGCAAAGGAAACCTGTCCAGGCACCAGTGGAATTGACACGTCTCCCGTTTACCTGAACCAGAGCTCCACAGGGTGAACATGGGGCAGGAACCCACCAGTCTTGAGAACTAGACTCTCTTTCCTGAGCCCTTGCCCTCAGTTTGTCTGTCTACGGGGAAGGTATGGGACTCATTTTCTGCAGGTTCTGTTTCTCCCTCCCAACGCAGACTGTCTCGATGCTTTGAACACTTACTTTGGTGTACCAAGAAAACAAGGGCGTGTCTTCAAATAGTCTTTTCATGTTCAAAGGCGCAAAGAAAACATTCTCAATGGCTGAAAGGAGGGAGAAAGCTGGGGAGCTGGTATTTGAAGCCAGCTGTGTGGTGTTGCTGAGCCCTTTCATAAAGAAGATGACAGGCTGCTCAGGGTAGATCTTGGCAGCGGACTCCACAGCGCAGGAGACCAGTGGAGGCGGCTCCACTCTCTCAGAGGTCTCTATGAACACAATGCTCCGTCCATTGCTCAGGAGGTCTTCCAGCCTCCCTAGAGACGAGAAGGGAGGCAGGCAGGCAAAGAAGCAGTGAGACCTCAGGGTGAGCTTGTATAGCAGGCCACAGGCAAACACCAGGACCAGGGACACGGAGAGGTGAAGTTCCTTCAGCATGTCCTCCAGCCCTCCCAGCCTCTCCTTCAAACAGCAGCGTTCATTAGAATTCACCCTGGTGATCCTGAGGGAGACAGTTGCAAGAAAATGAGTAAGAACGTTACTTATCGATTTAGATGAGAGAACTCCTGAATGAAATATAATCAAAGCAAACCTAGCAATATTTAAAAAGTTCATCTTAGACTTTAATATACATACTATTAATACACTAATTGTCTTAACGGAAGAAAAGAAAATCACCGGGCTGTTCGGACTCAATAAATGTCAAGAATGTGGGAATTTTTGATACACGTTCATGATTTTTTTAAAAAAGAGGTTACTTTCTTAACAAGAAACTTTCTTAATCTGGTAAATGATACCTGCGAGAACAATACATAGATGATAATATACAGATACTGTATAGATGGAAATAAATAGATGATTTTATACAGATAACAACAATAGAGCAATCCACCTTCTTCACACAAAACATTCCAAAACAGCTTAACTCTGATAAATTGCCAATCATCATTCTTGCTAGTCAATACTATTCTAACCATTCTAAACCAGTCAAGGAAACAAACAAACAAACAAAAATCACTACTATAAATTTTAGAAGAGGCCAAACTATCACCAACTTTCTATGGATGAAAGATGGAGAAAATGGAATATAATATGTTCCAAAATTAAAAGATTTCAGAAAAAAGTTAGTCAAGGGTCCAAACTGAAGGTTAGAGGGTTACATTGTGAACCTAGTTTGCAAGCAATGGAGCTGTGGTTCAAACCTGTATCATCACCAAAATCCAGGCTCCATATATCTTTGCAAGCTGACTCCAAGACAGCGGGAATCTCAGGAATCTCAATTACTAAAAGGTCCTTTTTTTTTTTCCTTCTACATAACTCAGAAAACTCAAATCCAGAAGCCCAGAACTTACTTTCCAGCCAGAAACTTGCAGTTTGCCAGTAGTTGAGGTCTTAGAAGTGATAGACTCTGTACAGATATTCTCACAACTCACTGCCCAGTCTTTCCATTCAGCCACACACACAGGAAAGTAAATCATTGGCAGATTAAGACTAAACATTAAGAACTCCCCAAGAAACTCCTCCCTTCCCTAAGCTCCTCCTTCCACACCATGAACCTAGATATGTGGGGACAATAAGAGTCCACAAGATTTTTCAGATGACCCACACACTTGGCAAATCCTGTTTGGGGATCTATCATGGAAGCTCTAAGAGACTCCTCTGAGGAGGAGGAAACTCTGTGAGAGCACAATGCTGGCGCCAATTCACCCTGCGCCTGCTCAGCTTAGTTTGAATCAAACTCATGGACAGAGGTGTGAAAGTTCTTCACTGGACAGTCTGTAAGCTGACCCAGATTTCTCCTTTGCAATCATTATTTAAAAGGTTTGATTAAAAGAAAAGAAAGACTGTTTGCACCATCAAAGCTGTGGACAAACTCTAGTAGCTTAAAGGCCCTGGGATAGACAATGGGAACACATCCCCAGATATCAGGGCTGCAGGCAGGCAGGGTCTTTTTGCCTCGATGTACCACTGTGGGGTAGGATTGTCCTCTTACTCTTACCAAGTTAACTTGATCACCTTCAGATAACATGGCCGAGTTATTTTTCTCCTTAATGGAGGAACCCTGCTGTTTGAGGTTGCGGTTCTCCTAGTCCAGATAGCCATTTTGAGCTCAGCATCCAAGTCCAGGACTCCCTCTTTCTGAGAGGGCTTCTTGCCCTCTGCTTGACTTCATCTGAGAGTGTCTTTAGACACAGATGCGCCTAGCCACATTGGATATATGGCCTTTGATACAGCTCCCTGCTAGTTCTACCCTCCCTGCTCCTATAGGATAATTAGGTATTGTGTTCCCATTCGTATGATAAAAGTGTGCTTTTTAAGGCAAATCAAGCATCCCTGAAGTGCCTAGTTTCAACCAGTTATGTACAACTATCCTTGGAGCCCCTACCCACTCCTCTAGGGGGATATAGCCTTTGTTCTCTGGAATTAAAGTTGAACCAACTCTCTGTAGTGTTTCCTGGGGATTGTGATCCAAGCACGCTCCTCATCTCCTGCCCCTTCTGACTTCATGGGCTGCTGGGAGACAGCCCACAGGCAGGAGGAGAACCACACCCCATCTTTGGTCTAGCCCCATGGTCCCTGACATGAGCAACAAACCTCTTTGAAATTATTCTCCCGTCAGAGAATCACCTGCCCTCAGTCCAGAGCTTTCTCTCAGGCAAAAACAGGTTCCTTTGGATGCTTTGGTGTGATCAGGGAGGAACCCTACTGGACAGAGTGTGAATCCAGTCCTATAGTAAGGGAGTTGAGACTGCCTCATCTCTGAGTTTCTTTGTCTGAGCATGCTCAGAACTAGCTCTTGGATCTCCACATGTTCCTCATTTGGGCATTGGACTTCTGTGGACCTGATCAGCTCTGGGCTCAAGGTACTCTGGCATCTTTCAAAAGTTCTTGGAGTTGAATAGATGTGGGTGTTCTTGACTACAAACAGGATAGAAGATGAGTGCTCACTTCATGTTTGAGGCTAACTAGAGGGTTGGGTTTATGGAAGTGATCTATTCCTTGTTTCTAGGTAGGCCTAACTGCTTATACAATGGCCTAAACAAAAGAGCTGGTGGTCAAAGCAGAAAGCAGTGTAGTTGATGGTCTTTTCGGGGGGGATGGGTATGAGTTTGAGTGATGCAGTGAATTCCCAAGCCTCACAAGTAAGACTTGCTGACCAAGAAGCAGGTAGACTGACGCCTCCATCTGTCACAGGCTGACACTAGGACAATCACCAGGACGGACCCTTGAGAAATGATGAAAATAACCTACTTGAGGCTCACTGTGAGGGTGAGATGGCTAAAGAAGCAACTCTAACTTTCTACCAGGGAGAAGAGGAAAGACAGTCTTAGTGAAGATGGAGTCAGGCAGAACGGTGCACACCTGTGATCCCAGCAATGAGGAGGTAGAGGCAGGAGGATAGGGAGTTCAGAGTTAGCCTCAGCCATACAGCAAGTTCGAGGCCAGCCTGAAACACATGAGACCCTGACCCAAAAACAAAACAAAAGTTAATGTAGATGGGATTTAGACTCCTTCATTAAAAACACAAAACTGCTTCCTCACTGTGTAAATTTTTTTACATTTATGAATGAAATTTATATCCCAGTGAACCTATAAGGAGAAAATCCTGGCCTCTGTGAGCTGGTGCCATATGTCCAAAATGTAAGTCACAGGCACCCGGGTGATATTTAGATCACAGCTTGATGTCCTTCCGGACCTTCCCGAGAAGGCCTCCTGCCATTTTAGTCACTCCACATGAAAGGTGTACAGACATGCTTTCTGAAGGGACCAACAAAACTCCATCCCTTCTTGCTGCCCTCCTTTCTGCCACATCTAGCCAATACTCACCCAGCTTCTGTCTATTCAGGCCGAGGACAGAACAGAGGCTCTTAACTCAGAATTCATGGATTCCCTCATGGACTGCTAGCATCCGCAGGGATGGGTTTCAAGAAACCACCCATGGAGCTATATTTGCATCAAACCTGATGTCATTGACAAAGACTCTCCTACTTAACCACTTTAAAAAAAAAAAAAAAGTTGTTGTTCTTGACCTCAGACACTGTTTTCAAAATGTCTTCTGTTTTGTTTTTTTGTCTGCTTGTTTGTTTTCATTACAAGAGCTCGGGCTTTCTCAGGCTCCACAAGCAATCCCTAGAAACCTCAGTATGAGCATCTGATAGAGGTGTCCAGAGAGCTACTGCGCTTTTGGCAGAAGATACACTGGAATACCCCAGTGAGGGGTGCATATCTGTTTAGGTATTACTGCTTTCCTAAAAGCTTCTGCAAAAGAATTCTTTCTCCGTTAGAGTGCAAGCCAGATCCAGTCAATCACAGACTGTGCAGCCTGGGTAACAGCCTTGGTGGGCAAGGTCTCAGGAAATATTGACTGGTATGCCCCCAAATAAATAAAACAAATAAAAAAAAATCTCTGAATCTAGTGTTATTTCTATTTTTCATTTATGAAGCTGTTTATTGGCTATTGGGGCTAGTTTTGGGTTTTTTTTGGGGGGGGTTGTTTGCTTGTTTGTTTTTCCTGTTTTAAGGGGAAGGGGCAAAGCAGGGAAGGAAACCATGGAACCAGAAGAAAACTTTTTCAATTCGTTATCTCTACGCATACTCTCTGATAACATCAATTATAAATAGTTCAGAATTTGGAGCTAAATGCCCTCTTGAATAAAGAACCCACTGTATTAGGCCAGGGGTGTTAAAAGGAGTGTTAACAGCCAATGTTTATTGACTTGAATTACACCTAAAAAGTACGCCTTGCCTTTCTGTAGCTTCTTTGAACTCGGGTTTATTGTGAGAAGGAAATGTTTAAGTCAGTGGCACTCATCCTATTTGCTTTGGCCTTTAGAACCACGGTTCCGGTTTTTAACATTTGTTAAGCAAGCAGGACTGATAAACTTGTTAAAACATTTAACTACTAACAGCACAAAACAAATTATCCGAGACGATAGCTTGTCCACAAGGCCAATTACTTTCCATTCAAAAACAAAGTCCAGTGAGGGTTTTGTCTGGCTGGATAGGAATAGATGGGGAGATAGCTAAACAGAGTGGGAAACAACTAGACAATGTGGTGCTTGGGAACCCATGAAGAAATAATGAAAGAAGTGATATAAGCTTAAGAGTTATGACATCATTAAACCCTGAGGGAAATCCTCAGTGACTTCATACCACCATACCTTGCAATGTATTTTAAACCATCTTAGACTCCCAGTCAAATGGCCCTAGCCTTGTGTTTCTGATTTCATTCTTCTTTATTCTTTATACCTAAATCAAACATTCCCCTGTGCACAAAACCTTTCACAGCTATCAGAGTGTTCCTTGGTTTGTTTTAGAAGTTAGTCTAATAATGCCCCCTACAGTTAACATTTATTTGCTGATAAGACAGCTGCCGGGAGATAGGGTAAAACAAGTCTTCTCTGTGAGCCACTCACTCACACTCACACCACTTTGGA